GAGATGATTGAGGCATTTCTTTGTGTAGCCGGTCTAATTATGAATCCACCTGTATGTATCACCATAGTTAACCCCTTTGAGCCTAAAGCCTGTTTCTTTGATAACCTTGCAATAACCTACATCCATGTGTTGAATAGCTTGACTGCTTGACCCTTTGCCTCTTAGAAGCACTAGAATTGTTAAAGATCATGTAAAAGTCAAAGTGTGGGGTGATAAGGGAGTAGAAAAAGGAAATCAAGAAAATACTTGAATGGTGCAATGGTAGTTGAAAAAAAAATTGAAATATAGAAGAAGGACCTTGCAAATAGGTGGTCCTAAAATAGTGAATGGCAAGAAAAGCCAGTTGCACCTACGGAAGTGGGGGTAGCTCATGAAACAAGTGTGGAAGAATGACTGGGCTGAACATGGAAATCGGAATAAAGGAAGAATGTATTAAAAGTGCTTAGGGAGGTTAGTCACTGTATCCAAATATATCCTACCTGTCCCTTAGCCTACATTACAACCAAATAAAGACCTCTTGATCTTAAACTAAAACAACTCGATTAGTAGAGTATTACACTAAGGGCAAGCTTATGGTGTATCTGTGTGGCATGTGAATGTTCTTGCTGAGAGTGAGTGAATTCTTTCTATCTATAGTTCCTTGTGCTTGATTTTATATGTGTGGAACTTCTCTCAAGAATGGGATGTGAGGGCATGTGACTCAGGAAGAAAAAGCAAGTTTTCACCTCTGTTAGAGTAACTAGAGTAAGCACGAGTGTGGCATGGCGTGAGCGTCTTCATCTGAGGTGTGGTTGTTGCACTGCTTAGGTTGTTCTTCATAATGGCGGGTGTGACATAAAACTGGGTAATGCATCGAACGATTAGGCCTAGAAGTGTGGTTCAACTTGCTCGAGGACGAGCAAAGATTTAAGTGTGGGGTGTTGATAATAGGTGAATTGAACAATAATTAAGCCCTAAAGAACCACTTTCTTGTATAGTTTTTATGGTAAAAGTGATAACAAAATGCTCTGATTAGTGCTTTTCATGCTTTGCAGGTTACATACAATAAAAGAAGGCTATAGAGTACTTTTGGGATCAATTATGGAGGAAAAGAGGCCAATCGCACAATATCCGCCAAGTGCACCATGCGAAATGCACAAAACCAGAACTGGAGATGGACTACCGCGGTCCCGACGTAACCGCGGTCGGACCGCGGCAGGAAGGTGTTGCGGATTCTGAGAGGTGATTTGGCCGCGGTCCTGGCGTAACCGCGGTGGGACCGCAGCAGGACGCGTAAATTTCAGGGACTCAAGTGCAAAATACGGGATTTTAAGCCCTAAACCCTATATTAAACGAGGGAGGCCGGCCAAGAGCGAGAGAGAATGATTTTTGGAAGTGAAAAACATCATAAGGAAGGGCAAGAAGCAAGGAGGATCATTAGGCATCAATCTTTAATCTTCTTCTTTGTTCTTTTACCTTTGAATATGAATTCTTTTGTGATTTTTGTTATTTTCATGAGTAGCTAACTTTTCTAATCTAAGGTTTTGGTGAAACCCGTTGGGGATGGATTGGTTGATATAAGTAATATAGATTTGAATTAGTTTAATCTCTATTTATTCAACTATGTTTTGATTGTGGTTAATTGAAAGGATCCTCAATTAGCCGTTCCTATTTATTATGTATCTGCTTGAGAGAGAGTGCATATTTAGGTAGTTGTTTGAAAGTATAGGCGAGAGTCATAACCGAGGGTTTAGAGGTTGGATTAGAGATAACGATACCTCGGGTGCGATCTAAGTGAACTGTAATGCGAATCTAGCTAGCGTAGCTTGAGAGAGTGCGTCTAGTAAATTATCATAATTGCTTGAGAGAGATTTATGATAGCTGGAGAGTTCATGATTGATAGAGGCAACTAAGTCAACGCTGTAAGAAACATACAACCAAGGAAATCAACAACGGGGAAAACCATTACCTTAGACCTTTATTCTAATTGTTTACAATTCAAGCATAGTTAGTTTTCAGCTGTTTATTTATTTTCAATCTTGTCTTCTTGGTGATATTAAACAGATACAGCTAAGTCTTAGTTCTCTGTGGGATTCGACTCCGGACTTTTAGACCGGATTATATTTGCAGCGACCGCTTATCCTTTTTAGGACTAGAGTTGGGCGTGATCAAGCTTTGACCTCGATCATTTCTCTGATCATTCCGAGGAGCATTACGACCCGACCCGTTATTTCTCTGATCGACATACGGCTGATATCGTTCCTTGTTTGGCCTCGATTCCCTGTCTGTATCCTTCGGGGTCTTGGTTGCCAATCTATTTGGATGAACCGAACCCGAGGGGCTCCCAACTGGTCGTCCTCGACCCTGATCTTTGACTGATAACGATTATGCATGTCCGACCACGTCACAGCTGGATACTCGATCAGATTCTGCTTTAGTTGTCGAGACGCAATCGGACTCCTCTCATTCAAACCCTGCATAAAAGCTTGTTCTGCCCAGTCATCCGAGACCGGTGGTAACTCCATTCGCTCCATCTGAAACCTAGACACGAACTCCCTCAACATCTCGTCATTCCTCTGTTTTATCTTAAAGACATCTGATTTCCTCGTTGCCACCTTTATGGCCCCGGCATGTGCTTTTACGAAGGCGTCTGCTAACATGGCAAACGAATCAATAGAGTTAGGAGGCAAGTTGTGATACCAAATCATGGCTCCTTTTGACAAAGTTTCCCCAATTTTTTCAACAACAGTGACTCGATCTCATCATCATTCAGGTCATTTCCTTTAACCCCGCAAGTATATGAGGTAATATGCTCATTAGGATCGGTTGTCCCGTTATATTTGGGTATATCGGGCATGCGGAACTTTTTAGGTATGGGCATCGGAGCCGCGCTCTGAAGGAATGGTTTTTGTATGAACTTTTTGGCATCTAAACCTTTCAAAACCGGAGGTGCCCCCGGTATTTGGTCAACACGGGAGTTATAAGTCTCCATCTTTTTATCATTGTCCTCAATCTTCTTTTCCCCAGACTCGATCCTCTTGGTGAGCTCTTCGAGCATTCTCATAATGGTGGGGTCGAGCCATTTTCGTTCAACCTCTCTGGCGCCGGTTCAGCACGCCGAGTGTTTTCTTGTTCGGCTATACTCGGAGTTTTATTCTGACTCTGAAGTTGAGCGATGGCGATCTGCTGAGCTTGCAGCATCTCGAATATCACTTGGAGGCTGACTCCCCCATCTTTTATGCCTGGTGTTCCTTGGCCCCCAGATCAGGCTTCCCTGCGTATACTCCTTCCAGGGTCTGCGCCTAAATCTGCATTCAAAGCATTGAGTGAACTAACATCAACTGGTACCACATTTGTCACTTCTCCTGGGTTTATCGGTGGTACACCGACCCCTACATTATTGTTTTCCCCATGAAATCCAAGACCTTCGTTGCCATGAATAGGTGCATTTTGCGAATTTGACATGTTTAATCCTGGGAATCAAAAATTCTTGACAAGAAAAAGTGTAAAAATAATGTGTGTTATGAGAATCAGTAATGAAACAATCACTATTATCTTTAGCCCCACGGTGAGCGCCAAACTGTTTACCTAGAAAAGACGAGTAACAATTAAATTTGATTTGAGATTTTAAAGATATGTGATTTAGTTCAATACCAATTAATAATCAAGAAGTATTAAGTATGAATGAAAGAAATAAGTGAATCAAACCAGTGTTACTTAAGCAGTATCGACCACGAGCTCAGTGACCTCGAGATGAATTAAGAACAATAAAGCAAGAACAATAAAATTGAAGGACGGTTCTGATGAACAATGAGCGAAAAGTAGAGAGTATATTCTTTGTCAATGATTAGATTATGTCTACAAATGATTGGGGTCCCCTTTATATAATAGGGGTGCCCTAAATAAGGTACTTTTCCATTTATAGTAAGGAATCTTAGTGGGACAACTGTCTAACCGCCTAGTACGGAATCGTACAATTCTATTCCGGGATTTGCGCCATGATTTCAGGGACGTGGCAGGAATCTCGCTCATTCTTCTGCAAATCTATAACGGCATTATTTCGGGGTCGAGCATACTCGACTTCGATATCCATCGCACTTCAATCTTCGGGCATTGCACTCTGTCTTCGAGCTCGAGTCTGGTCCATCAAGCTCGAACTCGACCCTACCTGAACTCGGGCCTAAGCCGATCCCTCGAGCCTGGGAGATTGAGCATACCTGATCTCGACCGTATACAAATAGATAGCAAAGTTGTGTTCAGAAATTCCTCAACTTGTACGACAAACTGCCTTTCGTTTTTTGTACAAATTATCCTCTGGTTTCTGTCTTTTTTGTTGGGTTTGTCTTTGTCTGTTAAATTGTGAGCTGTGTTTATCCTTTTCCCTTGCCCCTTCAATTATACAGGTCATGAGCTGTATATGGATGAAAAACAAAGACCATAAAAATATTCTTGATAATAATTCTATTTCATACTCCCTCTGTCCCAATTTGTATAGCACTATTTCTTTTCTAATCAGTCCAAAAAGAATGCCATGTTTTATTTGGAAGCAATTTATCATTGGAATTCCCATTTATCCTTAATGAATTGATTTATTGCCACCTATATTGTGCAGACTGTCCAAAATACTGTCGCACCCATGTCGGATCCTCCAAAATATAGTACTATTTTTGGACGATCTGATACGTACCCGGTGATATTTTCGGAGAGTCAGAGCAACATAAATAGCCACAGAAATATCTATAGTTTGTCTTGGACCATAAGTTTTAAAAGTCTTTCTTTCTTTCTTAAACTCTATACTCAATCAATCACGGTTATATAAATTGGGTCGGAGAAAGTATACAGGTCATGAGATGTACATAGATGAAAAACAAAGACCATAAAATTTTTCTTCAAGATAATACTATTTCATAGTAAAATAAATACTTGTGGTGTAGAAGGTAAACAACCACAATTCTATTCCTCACCACACAAATCAATTGTAGTTACCATTCTCCAAAAACTGCTGTCTATATAAACTCTCATCAACTCTCAGTCTTCATTCACCAAAACACAATATCACTTGTGCAACTGTTCTAAATCAACAATGGCTAATCACTCCCTTTACCTTCTCTTCCTCGTCGCCATAGCATCAATCAGTAGCCTTGCAGTTCAAGCAGAGGCTCGTCGTCTTTTGGATGCACCTTTGCCTGATCTCCCCGTTGGCCTCCCGAAACCCGAGCTACCAACATTGCCACAGCCTGGATTGCCTGGATTGCCTGGATTGCCTGGATTGCCTACATTGCCTACATTACCTATGCCAAAGCTGCCACTGCCACAACTTCCAATGCCTCAGCTGCCAACTTTGCCAGTACCTGTGCCAAAGCTGCCACTCCCAGAGTTGCCAGTGCCATTGCCACCTCTGCCTAGCCCTTAAGTGCTTATCCAGAATGACTCATTTGTATTGATTGTTATTGCTTGTATTTGTTAACTACTTGTTATTTTAATGTCGTTTAAACTTTTGTTTGTAATTCTCCAGTTGGTCGATTATTTGTGGCACTTAACATTCTAAATTCCTTCCCTTAACGATTGCTCAACGACAACAACAACAACTATTCAGTAAAATCCCACCAGGTGGGGTCTGGGGAGGGTAACGATTGCTCAACACCATACTATTATTTCTTTCTGGCGGGCACCATGGCCGCTGATTGTTGGTGTTAATATATATAATTTATTACTAACTGATTGCCCCATCAGCTGCTAGCACGACGGTAAAGTTGCTTTTTCACTTTTGGGCCGTGCCAGAAACTATTTACATTCGGTAGCCGAAAGAGTACGTAAAATTTGTATAATTTTTGTATATAACATACATAATGTATGTACATACAAAAAAATTATACATTTTTTCGTCTATTATTTTGAGAGCGGCTATACAGTATCATTTTCCCTGAAGTTAGAAGTAAAAGAAGTTTTTTACCAACGACAAGGGAATTTCCCTGTGGCGTGACAAATTTATTGGAAACTCTATATATAAGTGATTTTTATATAGTTGCTCCTAACTTGTGTGAACTTGAAGCATGGTTGTTTTCTAACTCGATTCATAGGGAGAGAGATAAAACGGGGAGAAATTCAAAAATAGCCAGATTTACCACTGGTCGTTGAAAAATAGCCAAGTTTTAAAAGTCATTGAAATTTAGCCACTTTAAATCTGAGCGAAAACACTGTTCAAAATCCAGAAAAATACGCCTGCAAATTTTACGGGAGTTCCAGGATAACTATGCTGGAACTCCAAAATTTTACGGGAGTTCAAGCATAATTATGCTGGAACTCCCGCAAATTTTACGGGAGTTGCAGCAAGTATAATTGTCCAGTATATATACTGGAGTTTGGAGCACTGGTGCTCCAGTCTCCCGCAAATTTTACAGGAGTTAGCAAAGTATACCGGTCCAGCATAATATGCTGGAGTTCGTACACAAATGCACCAGAACTCCCGTATATTATACTGGACCGGTCCCTGTTGCAGCAAAATAGTGGCTATTTTTCATTGACTTGATAAACGCTGGCTATTTTTCATTGACCAGTGTGAAAACTGGCTATACCATGATATTTTAACGATAAAACGTCCTACGAATTTGTCGACAGAGAATAGCTAATGACCATAACTTTTTTTTTTGTTTTTTTTGTAGCCTCTAGAGACACCTGGATCTGGGTGTCAATATTTCGATTCGACCGGTTATTTTATAAATTTGTACTATAATAATTTTTTGGTTATTCCATTTTGTATAATCAAAATTAGACTTTTCAAAATCGTCTCAATCATCTCGGTTTCTCTTCGGTATCGGTATGGTTCAGTTAATTTTTCAGTAATTTTTTAAAATGTCATGCAAGAGTCTCTAGTCGAAGTTAGAATGCAATAAATGTGCATTTGCATATGACTTTGACAAAACTCTCTAGACATTTTTACTAATTTAAAATTGATGAGCAAAGAACATGAAAGATGTCCAGAATATAGATTCATCTCACTATTCTATGGTAGCATAAAACAAATTAAGCAATGACTAGAGAAATATAAATCATACGAGTGGAAAGAGACTAATCCAGTTGGGACTCAAAAACAGAGCTTATTTAAAGATTAGTATTCAATAAGAGAAATCAAAATCATATGAAAGGAAAGATATCTAATATATTGTGGCTTGCTACGGAAGACCATTGAAATACCTAGTGGCTTGCTACTCAAGATGTTAGAACTAATTTCATTTTTCTACGAGTAGTAGAATAGATTTGGAAGTTGAGACTTTAGGTATTAGTTATTTGGTCAGTTGTACCCGTTTCATAATCCAAGAGCCAAGAAAAAAAACTAATGCTTTGTTAGTTTTAACCTTAGTATATAAAATAATTCTTTAATATATAAATTTATTGGGTACGGTTCGGTATTTTTCAATTTATTTTTAAAATTAAAAACCTATCCTATTATTCGGTGCGGTTATAAGTTTATATAAAAACCCGTAATTTTGTTTTCAAAAAAAAAATAATAGTCGGTTCGGTACGATTCCGTTCGGTCGATTTAGTCAATTTTTAAAGATCCATCAGACAAGTGAGACTTGCTTAGTTGGTAAAGCACCTCCATCTACTACCGTTAGGTCCTGAGTTCGAATCACGCTGAAGAAAAACTGTGAAAACACTATAAATCCTTCGATTGCTTGAAGATAGGCGCACGATACGATTAACATGTGGTGTATGGGTATCGCTTCAAAGTTACTGCTACTATCAACAGTAGTGCTGCTATATCACATCACCTATCCCATCAACTTGCAGTGGCAAAATGAATAAAAAAATTAGTTATCCATTTCACTAAAAAAATAGATTGGACAATTTATTTTTTAAATATGAGTTAGATATAAATAAGATCCATATTATCCCCTAAAAAAAGGATAATCAATGAATGTCCAATGGTATTAACTTTTACATAATCAAAGGTTCAAATTGAGGGTTCCTTAAATTGAAAGGCTAAAAATTCTCTCTAATGTAATTAGTTATCCATTTCACTAAAAAAATGGATTGGACAATTTATTTTTTAAATATGAGTTAGATATAAATAAGATCCATATTATCCCCTAAAAAAAGGATAATCAATGAATGTCCAATGGTATTAACTTTTACATAAGCAAAGGTTCAAATTGAGGGTTCCTTAAATTGAAAGGCTAAAAATTCTCTCTAATGTAATCATATTCAAGAAGCAATGAATAATATTATTATTCATATTATTCACCGTCCATTTTTTATCCATATTAAATATAATTCGAGTTAAATAATTCATCCGTTTTTGCATTACCATTGTCAGCCGACCTGTTTACAACCCGTAGCATCAACCAAATGTATAATCTATCTCAACCTAGTAAGGATTAGGGCCAAACAAGCATAGTAAGCACCAGTTTTAGCTCTGTACGACTTAAAGGACATTGACTCCTTCATTGAGAAGCAACAACTTTGAAGTCATACTTGCACACACTGTTCCTGCGCTTAGGCTCCTCTACTGCATGATTGGAACCTGGAACTTTTTGGGATTTGAATGCCTCATTCACATTTTAGGTGTTCCCATTTGTCCTAAACTTCGATCATGAAAGGAAAGAGTTCAACGCTTTCACCAACTATGTGCCTGCGTAAACCCTCGTAGAACCAAAAAATCATTTCGAAGACCAAGAGAATGACCCCTCGGAATAGGGAAAGACGAGTGATGTCCTCGTGGAGGAATACTGTCGCATACAGATTCTACTGCTACTATCTGCCTTGTGCAGCAACTGATGGCTGCACCCCTTTTGGCAAGAACCGGTGACCTGTAAATACTTAAACCTTGAGAATAACATAGCACATTGTCTGGCGTACACTACCAGATACGTAGTTGTCATATCGAGAGTCAAATCGTCACACTAATTGAGGACCATAGGCCCCTAAGAAAAATAGTCCCACAAGTTTTAAATATCTCATAACTGGTCTGCTTCCAAAAAATTTAACTCAACATCCACTGCGCTTAATGCAAGTCTATATTAAGGCAGAGTTTGTTCACCATTAAAGAATTCATTTAAAAGGCAGACTAAATATCACAAATGAAGGATAATAACCCACTAGCTAATCCTGCTATAAACTTCACAAGTCCATGTTGATCAACTTGGGGTAGAGAATACGGTCATCTCTCCCAGTGTTGCTCTCCAAAAGTGCACTTTGCACGAGTTCCTGGGCAACATGTGTTATTGTCAGCAAATGTGCAAAGTAACCAGGTAAAGGTACTATGAATATACAAAATAAACCAACCTTGACATCCCTGTGAGAAAGGAATTTCCCCAAGTTGTGGATGATTAATCTCAGATCTTCAACCTGAGAAAGACATACTTGATTGAGTTTCCTACGCAAAGAGAGAGAGAGAGAGAGAGAGAGAGAGAGAGAGAGAGAGAGAGAGAGAGAGAGAGAGAGAGAGGCCGGGGGAGAGAGCAGGGGGCAAGGACAAGCTTGTTGGCTTACCCTAACATATCCTGCCCGGTTACGGTCAAAAAACCTGAAAGCCTGTTCCAGAGCATGAAAACATCATACATAGAACATAAAAACAGTGAAAAGAAATTACAAGAAAGTAACCAGCAACTTACTTGCAACAGTTCTTTGTTAACCTCACCCTGAGTAGTTTTAGTATTTTTCTCTTCTTTTGTTGTCTCTTCTTTGCTGCCTGATTTAAGATTTGGCTTTTTCTCAGAAGCTCCTTCATCCTTGCCACTTCCAGGCAGTTTATCTCCGGTATCAGCATCACTTCGCATTTCCTCAGCATTTTCCTACAATCAGAAACATCCAAGATTACAGTAATGTACATGACATTTAGTCTCTTCATCTGCACACGTGCTGCAAACCCAACTTCCCAATCCATCAGTTCAAAATTTCAAATTATTGTCATCCACCTCGAAACAATCCCCAAGTGAACAAACATATTGTTGCCTATTGACAAATTTGGCACTACAATTTCAAATAACATAATCGATGTTCACCAATAAGCTTACTACAAAAAGTTAATGTTCACCAAAGATCAACAGTATTCCATGTCCAAACAGTGACACTCTGTCCCAATAAGTGGATATTTAACACTTACGTGAGAATGATCAGCGTGAGAACTTGGAATCTATTTGCTTGTTCAAGCATTGATTTCAAATGTCACTCCAAATACATATCTTATGTTGGCAAAAAAACTCCTACATAAATTACACTACCCCAATCCTCTGTTAAGTCTTAGTCGTACCAGAAGATCCAAATTTAGTTGAAAATAGATGCAGGGCAGTGTTTCTTGGTATTTTCAATGTAGTCAATGATATGAGATTTTAATTGAAATATACAAGAAACTAAAATACCTACTGCAACTGTTATTTACTGAAAATGTTCCCACTAAATGAGATCAACAGACAGCAGATTCTATGCATATCAAGTACACAGAGAACAAAACATTAAAGAAATTGTGAAGTGGTAGCAAGTAAAGACAGAACCTTTGCCTCCTCAACCTGGCCATCCTGAGGGCTTGTGTCTGGCAATTCTGATTCTTCCTCTGGATCTTCCTCTGGATCTTCATCCATCTCAGAGCCATCATTCGCTTCTTCACCTGAAATCATCGTCTCTTCGGCATTGTTTAGGGAGGTCGCCTCTTCCTTGACAAGTGATTTCTCATCCTCTTGATCATGTTTGGCATGTGATTCACTTTTAGTAGACTTGGCATCCTCCATGGACTCATCTATCTTTGCACGCTTGGCTGATTTTTCCTCACTTTTCTTCTTGGATGATTCTTCTCTCCGTCTTTTCTGCTGGTTTCGCTTGATCAAAAACTTAGAGCGCAATTTCTATCATAAAAGTAACATAAAGGATAAGGGTTAGATAACAACCTAGCAATAGGTCTCAGGGCAATAACTGAATTATATGACTGGCACAAACCTGAAGAAAGGGTAAGAGACGAGAAGCCATTTCATAATAAAACATTTCATACAAGGATTCCGCGACGAGTGAAAGCTGCAAAAGGAATCAGCAAAGGTGAACGCGATGACATCCAATTGAACCAAAAGTACAGTAATCAATTCATGGATGATAATTTAGTATTCACCAAATCATATGACAAGTTTGTGATTTCCAGCAAAAAGTACAGACATGGTCGCTTTATACGCTAAGAAGGGTATACCTCAAATCTTGACTCTGCAATATCCTTATCACTATAATCCAACAAAGAATCCAACGAAAGAGACAGCGATCGCAACTGTAGCCAATGATACACAACAATATAGTTATTTCCATACAAACAATAGGATAAAGCGTTTCTTCTAACAGGAAGAGTTAAGTGATTCTGATTCAACCTACCTTCATATCCTTGCTCCCTTTTGTTTGAAGAAAAAATCCAGGGTGCCGAGGAGGATCTTCACTGCTCTTTTCTTTGATCTCTTTTGTCGATTTGCTCTTCGAAAGGTTTTTTCCATCCTGATCCTTCTTTTCTGTTCGTTCTTTGGAGTCTACCTTTCCTTTTAGCTTTGGATGGTCATCATTCTGAGCACTTTTATTCTTGTCTGCTTCCGATTCTTTCTTGGACCCAGCAAGATTTAACTCCTCAGTCCTTTTTTCTCCTTTTGTTTCTTGCTTCACCTCAGCTACTTTTGATTTTGTTTTAGGGCTAACCTTCTGTTCTTGTTTGACCACATTCACATTCTCTGTATTTTCTACATTATTATCGCCCACATTTTGCACCTCACTTTCAGCTTGAACTGACTTCTCCTCTTTCACATCATCTTTGATACTATCAACACCACTGACCCCATTGTCGGACTCTTTAGACGCTGCTTTTCGTTTGGGAACCCTCTTAATTATTTTCCTCTTAACTGTTTTCTTCACAACAGCATCCTGCTTGACAGCACTACTATTACCATCAGTTTTATTATTCCCCTTATCTTCGGAAGATTCTGCCTCCTTGACAGTTTTCACATCGGGAGGGTTCGATCCATCATCTTTTGGAGTTTTCCCCACGGGAACCTTCTTAATAATTCTCTTCCTTATAAAAGTTTTAACTGGAGGATTAGCAGATGCTCCAACCTGGGTAGAAGCAATCTCTACGCTCGAACTTCCATCCCCAGTTTCTTTACCATCCACCTTATCATTCACTTTCTCTGTGGTCTCCAAGACATCTTTCTTACTGGAGGTCTTCTGTTTAACAATTCTTTTTATAACTTTCTTCTTAACTGACTTTGCACTACCATCAGTCTGAGTAGCGGCGCTTACTGCTGTAAGTTCAGGAATATCATTCCCCTCCTTTTCAAGAGCTTGTTTACTCTCTCCACTTTTTTTCTTAGACCCATCTTTATCAGCTGTATTCTCTTTTAGTTTGCCATCATTCTCCTCCTTGATTGCTTCTGCAGACTGTCCGGATGCACAGTTTTTTCCCGACTTGGGACCCCGCTTAGCATCTGCAAAATGCCGAGACTCATCAGTTGTTGAGTTCCAAAAAGGATAAATGAACCAGAATAGATTCTCAGGTAAAAAAATTGATGCACCAAAAGTTCAGATATCTTACCTTTCTGGCTTTCCTTCTCTCCAGATTTCTAGATCAAACAAATAATTTAACCAGTCAGCAAGCAAAACTATCAATGTACCGCCTGTGTCTAAAGTAAATGAAAAGGAACAAAAAGATAAAAGTAAACTAGAAACTGAAATGCTACACTCTGTCGCAAAAGAATTGGTTATTGCTATATTAGGAATCAAACAATTTTTCTTTACATTATGATTGTATCAGCACATATATATGTGTGCGTGTTCTGTTTTCTAATTTTTTTTGCCCCCATGGGCTAGCTCAATTGGCAAAGGTAGAGGGACTTGTGTCTTAGGTCACAGGTTCGAGCCCAGGACCAAGCGAACTAACTCTGGTATTTAGGTGGACAAGGTATAGTGGTGGGCCCATCATCCCCAAGTTTTGAAGGCTATGTGGAGACACGTAACAAAAATCGACTGGCATTCAGGAATATAAACCTCCAGCATGCTCTTATAGTGTGGGAAACTGGAAGAAGCATATAAGAACCCCATGGAGCATGTACTCTAAATATATCAGCATCGGCACTTGGAGAGGCAGAACAACACTTTTTGGCAGGACACTTGACTGGGACATAAACCTCTGAGAGATACGTTCCCCAGATTACATATTTCTTCTGGCAATCAAAATCTAGTTGTGGCTGATAGCTGGAATCACTTTTTTATAAGGTAAACATTTTATTAACGTTGGGGGAAACATGTAGAGCAGTATACCAAAAAGTTAAGAGACCCTACACCAAAATATGGTTCTCTACAAAAGCAACCCAATCATCTATACAGTGATTGCTGGAATCACAAGGCTGCAATCCCCTATTAAGAAGCCACAATGACTGGTAGTTGGAAAATATTAGTAATGTCCTACAGCTGCTATATACATAACCAAAGGCTACAACCACAACAAGACACTATAATAGGGAAAGCTCAGAGCAAGTATGTGTTTACTGTGAGGTCTTATACGGCTTTAGCTGGGAGCAGCAGACTGAAGACCGTTGCATCGGAAGCGGACTTGAGAACATAAAGCATCTCAATAAGTGCAATGTTTGGTCAATGGCACAAAAAGTGTATCACTACGCACAGATGCCATAAATAGTCATCTCTCTCTAATTCTTTGTTTTTTCTAAATTTAAAAGGAATATGCTAGACATCTCTTCATCCTCTGCAAAGTCCCCCTCCAGTTATTGCGCGCGTACTTAAACCTATGGGTGATGGGCAGTGCATACCAGAAACTACAAAAAATTTACTCTTCCACTGGCACAGAGGACTCAACAAAGAGCCCTCTGGTATACCATTCTGCAGCAATTTGGTGGGTGGTTTCAAAGTAGAGAAACCAAAGGATCTTTGAAGGAAGGAAGGAGTGTAATGAGGATCAAGCTATTTAATGTCTAGTTTATGGTGTAAGTTATTGGATGCAAATGACAGAGATAACTGATAGATCTTCTCAATTCGTTACATGTGCAGTAAAAGAACTAACTTCTTCCTTTTTGTAAGGCAAACACGACTGCACCAGCTTGGTGTCAGTTTATAAAGCAATAACTTACCTTCTTAATAAGAGAAAAAAGATCGAAGAGATTTGTCAAACATAAAAAGGAGAGAAATTTTGTTGAAGATACAAGAGATGTACTAGTCTAAGAAAGCAGACCTCTTTCCTCAAAGCAAGTTCCTTCTCTCTCTCAGCAATAGCCTTTTTTTGAGTAAACCAGAGCTCACGCCATGATTCTAATGAAGGGAGGCATTCAGATAAGTCTGGAACGAAGTAAACAGTGACTTCTTTATGACTGAACAACCCATCCTTTCCAACTCTTTCATAGTGTATCTGCCAAACATCATAAAATAAATTATCTTCAAAATCATGTAAATATTATTCTGAACAGTTTCTAAGATTCTGTGATGGTCCAGATCATAAAACTATTTATTGGATTGAGTTCACTAACTATGATTTTTTGGCAAAGAAGCTAACGAGCCTTTTGAACATTTTTTATAATATGATCCATCTCAGTAGCATGGACTGCAGAAGGGGGAAAGGGATGCTGATTAACAAAAAATAAAACAAAACTTAAAGTTAACAAGTAGCTGAAAAAGACTTTCAGGCCTTGGACATCCTTGAAAAAATACCCAGAATTACTGTAGCTTTCATTAGAAAACAGCATTTCCTTGTCAGCAGGGATGGTGAGCAAATATCTTTAAGTAAATAGATACATGTTTGAGGACATGTGCTTCATTCAACTCCAAGGAAAATGACAACCCTCGCTCTCATTTTTATTCTGCAAATGAAACCACTTCAACTAGCTAAAAAGCTCCCGACAAGTTAACATGAATGCTGCCAATGGGAGCCATTCATTGTATTACCGTCGTCGAGGGATACATCTTTAACATGATGAATAATTTGAGGTCCCAAAAATGTAAATCTATTCAGGAACGTGGCCACATGCGCTAACAGACTTTCAAGGAGTTCAAGTAATGAGATCCAGATTAGATTCAGTCCCGCAGGCCAATTTTGTAAGTGTCATTGAAAGGATAGGGGGTGACTGTTATGGACAAACTGGACATGAAACAATTGGTTATTTTCAGTTGTCTTTTTTGACTATCTGGAAGCCAGGTATCCTAGAATCTCCTGGAGGTTATTGGCAAGGCATCTCTACAAGAATTTTGCTAGGAAGGAGTTCTTGAAGCCCCCTCATCCAAGAGGACCAAAACAATTTCCAAATAAAACGAAAGGGCTCAGCAAGTTGGTGATACATGAAGGAAAGGAGGAGCAATATGCCAACCATCTGTTCATAACACTTAAAGCATTAAGCGGATGATCTATTTACTCTTGCACTATTCAGAGTTCATGTGATAGACATTAATGAAGTTCATATTTAAGAGAAAACTGTGAGAATGCACGAGGGAAAAATCTATTTATTAACAATGATACAATGAGCCTTATATATATTACATATTCTACTCCTACTACATGTGGGACTAGGACCTATTCTACTCCTACTACATATAGGACTAGGACTATTTACACATGACTATCTAACACTCCCTACCTCAAGCCAGTGCATACAAATCATATGTACCGAGCTCGCTACATATGTAACTAATACGAGGACCAGTGAGAGACTTGGTGAAAATATCTGCAAGCTGATCATACAAGGCCACTAGACTCCCCCTGAGCAACAAAATAAGGTGGTTGCTGATAAACATAAGTTGGCCAAAAAGTCGCCAAAAATTTGAAAATAGTGAGACTAAGGCGAATCCACACTACAAAATAGGTTCTAAAACACCACTAGAAATCAAAAACATTCCTGGAAATCGCTGTTCACTCGAAAATCACTGTTCACACCGGAAAAATATAAAATAGAAGTTTGTCAGAATTTGATGTAATTTATATGGGTAGGCTCGGAATCACTGGACAAGTAAGTTGACCTGAAGAAGCATTGTCAAAAAGTGGCATGAATGACTCACGCGCCGGAAAAGTTACTGTAGCTCATCGAAAAATTTCAAAATTCTCGAAATCCGTAGGAAATTGTACTGGTGGACTCAGAATCACTACATGAACCAATTGTCCTAAAGAAACTTTTGAAAATTCTGGCTGGAAAGTGCTCCACGCACCGGCGCGTCAGAAAACGCACAGCGATAATTTTCACACTGAAGATATGATACCATGTGAGAATGTAAGAGAGAAAAATCTATTTATTAACAATGATACAATGAACCCTATATATAATACCTATTCTACTCCTACTACATATGGGACTAGAACAATTCAACTCCTACTACATATGGGACTAGGACATATTCAACTCCTACAACATAAGGGACTAGGATTATTTACACATAACTATCTAACAAAAACAAAAGGAGAATCTGCTTTAGACATAAAGTAGAATAAACAGAGGACAGAGAGACACAGGCGGATATTACCTCAAGGAAACGGTTCCACTGCTGGCAGTTCTTCAAATCAAGATGAGTTATGTCCTTTGCATGTCTAATAGCAAGAGCTATATCAGTAAGGTTCAAAATAAACTGTAAAACAATATTAGAGGAATGTAATTACAAACCTAAGAGCTGTCTGAATCAAAGAGGAGTCATCAAGTGATGGATCCCCACCATCAACACTATCCCACTGGCCCCCTATAGCCATTAAATTGTTTTCCAGTTTAAGAATGGCAAACCTAAGCATGTTGCAAATATGAGGTATCCGGTCATCATAGTTCCGATCGGATGACAACTCTTCCAGAGAATTTTTGCTGAGCCCACTCATCAAAATCATCTATATATCAGAAAACAAAAATGGCAATTATCAGAAATGTATTAGCACATCAACATAGTGTAGAGAGAGTGAATTGGGATAACAAGGTACATGTCATTAACAGGACAAATGACACCGTTGCATAAATACTTTGCTTCCTCAACAACAACAACAACCACCCAGTATAATCCCACAAGTGGGGCTGGGAGAGGGTAGTGCGTACGCAGCCTTACCCCAATCATGAAGGTAGAGATGCTGTTTCCGATAAATCCAAATACTGTGCTTCATCTATAACACTGAAAATTATATAACTAGCTAGCTTGTCATCTTTGAACATATAGCATATAGAACATAGAAGGCAGCAGTAGAGTAGAAAATCAGGGCAGAGGTTTCTGTTGGTGAGGTCTATTGCTTTTCAATCTAGTCAAGTTGAACAAAGCTGGTACAGATGCATCAATATTGGCAACAAAAAGGAGCAAGTATGTAACTAGTGCAATCATCACCCATATAAAAAGAAGTATAAGGACCTCAAGCAATTATCACATTTTCCCCCAATTAAAATCCATCATTAAGCCTCCAATTTACACTCAAAGATGCCACAAAACTAAGGAGTACAGACAGCTAATTGATATATAATCATCATGAACTAGAAATGATCACCACTTCATCATGATTCTCATCAGCAAAGTTCTAAAATGAATGCAAGAAAAAGAGAGCACATCTGCTTTGACGACAAACTTTTGAAACACCAAAAGAATTCCGCACCATTATTCTACTCGTTTTTATATCTGACTACCACTTAAAATATCATGATAACATCTCGAGCAAATGCTAACTTAAGAATTCTCAGAGCACAGTTAGACAGGTAAGGTTCTAAAACGATTTATATTCCTTCAAAGAAACCTTTGCATTCCATATAGTCCTCCCATGTTCTGATTTTTCAGGTTCACCAGCAAACGGTTTCGATGACAGCCGCTTCAGCGCAGTTGCAGCATCTCCTTCAACAAAATCATGCTCAAAACTGTTCCATCATGAAAAGGATGATAGTGTCATACCAGCCATCAACTTACAGATTTCAAAGAACAAAAACTACACATCAACCTAAAAATTAAGTACACTAGATTGAGCGTGTGGGGATTTGGGGGTAGAGAAAACATCTGTTAGAGCTGCGGCTAATAAGGAAAGATCATTTCAAAAACCATTGAGAGACTTCGTAAATGTTTGCAAACCGGGTATTCCACTGCCGAATGGAAGTCTATCGTGCAAAATAATAGAAATGAAATATAAAAAATGAACATCAAAAAGGAAGGGTATCATGACTAATCACCTGACAGGAGTATGCAGAGAAAGCTTAAGATTCCCTTTTGGCCAATTCACAACCACCTACAACAAAAGAAAATGCAATGTTACATAAGATATCTCACATAAATTAGCGGAATGAAAGAAAAGGCAAACCTTTGAGCATTCTGGAGATATGAAAAGCCTTGGATACCTCCTATCCAGTGACAGATAATCCCTCTCAATTTCAACCAAATTGGTTGAATAAACCTGCAAAAACAACAATAAATGCGTAAGAATTGACATCATTAGATACGCTTGCTGAATAATTGAAGCATTCTTTCAAGTCCACAAACATCAAGAATTCAAATGAAGGCAGCAAACTTATCAAAAGGCGAGACCACTATCCTCCCGAAAAAGATACCCATCAAAAGTTCTGATGATACAGAAAAGGAAGAGCAAACAAACGAAGGAACAGAAAGAGTGCCACATTCCTTGTAGAAACTACATGTCTTGAGCATCACGAACAGCAACATCCAGAGGGAAAGATGAAAGAGAGCATAGGGGACTGGCAAGAAGACAAAGGAAAAGGAGGGACAAATTTATCTGACACTGGCAATGGTTCAAAAGAAAAGCATATTGCAAGACAAGATAATTGAGAAAGCCAATAGTGTTAGGCAGGGAATAAGGATGAGTGTAGAAATGAGTAGCTTGATAAGTCTCTGTTCGTGAAATAAGGTGATCAAGAAGTTTAAAGTACTTAGAGGTCCTCATTACACTTCATTCCCAAATGCAAAGCAGAACCACTTAAGGAGGATAATAATGATTCAAGCGCTAAGCTCTTGTTTTACCTTGCAGAAATACTCTCTCCTTTTAATCGGTGAATGACGCCTTCAGCATGATAGAACACCAGGTTAGTTATGAATGCTGCAATATATAGCAGCTGCTAAACACACACAACCATAGAAGGACAAAACCAAATAAAAAATCCACCTATGCAAAGCTTCAGGACGGGGAGATTCTCGTCGTGAAGATCTACTTTCCTTGGCCAATGAGGGTCCTCGTCGATCCCTAGAAGTCCTGGGAGGAGTTCGGTCATGCTTTATTTCAGCTCCACGTTTGCGCTCATGATCTTTTTCCTTCTCCTTGCGTTCCAAAGCACGTTCACGATCACGCTCTCTTTGTCGTTGCCGTTCTCGTTCCCGCTCTCGATCTCGTTCCCTCTCTCGATCTCGTTCGCGTTCTCTTTCTCGATCTTTCGCCCTTTCTCTATCTTTCTCTCGCTCACGCGAAGAGTGTCGATCTTTCTGTCTTCGCTCAAGCTCCCGAGAGTAGACAATCCTGTCATCCTTATAATCATCTAACGTTGAGAGGCCAGAACGTGCCAACGTGCTGCCAGGATAGTCAGACTCGATGGAAGTTGCATGCAGCCCCTTCCCTATCCCATAGTCTCTACCTGGAGGCAAGCTCACCCCATAACCAGGATTTGTAGAACTCTGAACATACATGACATCCTCAGCAGCTCTTTGTGGTGCCGCCCCTAGGATTGAAGGAGCATGTTGCCCAGGAAGTAATGATCCAGGTAACGTTGAAAAAGTGTGAGGATCTGAGTCCATTCTGCCACTATAAGATATAGGATCTTGGGCTGCATGACGAACAGCAGCACTCCTTGCTGCAAGATATTCGACTTGTCTGCCAGAAAGTTGTTGCTACTCAGTTCAATAGAACATATAGCTCCATGAAAGAAGCTAACAGGATGTGCGCAGATATATGCCATCACTCACAAGATGTATCACACTCCTATATACATGTTAGAGCAACGTATAGACACTGATAACGTAAGGGAAAATGCAAGTGCAATTAAACAAAAGCATCAGATGGTTCAAAAGAGCAATTTGCAACTGTCACACAATTTTTGAGAAAGAACTAGTGTACATACCTAGATCCTCCATCAATTGAAGCAGATTGCAATGCCTGAGACTTCAGTATTTGCTCTTGTCTTATTATAGATGCTTGATCCATGTGCTCGTATCTTTCAGCCTAACAGTGGGGAGAAAAATAGAAGACATAAAAGAAAGTAAAGAAGATTACAAAAAGTAATAAATTATGTAACTGGGACACGGACAGGTGCATGTGCCTAAACAATGACAACAAGCAATAGTACTCGCAAGTTTTCCTTCTGACCTCCCCAAAAAATCAACCTCGTTTACAAAAAAGGGAAGTTTTACTGAAAGATTGAAACCAACCCAATTTTATTACATTCTACTACTACTCCTACATTTACCATCCTTAAAATAAACTACCCACTTTTATACGTTCCAATTACTACACATTTCTACCCTCAAACCCTTTTTTATTCTAGGCTAAAGAGGATTATCTTGTGCAGGATTGACTATAAACTTCTATCTGATCCAGCTCCTTCGTATTCTGTTTTAGTCAATCTCTAAGGAAATGCAGTAATAAGAGTTTGGGTAACTCAAAATTTCCAACTCCCATTCAAAAGTTTCACAATCATAATTACTACCATCATGAGCGTTGAGCTCTCATGTGCAGGTGCGCATGTGTCCAGTGTGGTGGTAATGGTCCAAAAAATTCCTAAAACATATACTAGGCATAGTCCAAATACAGCACCTGATGCTTATGAGCAAAAGAAATTGAATCAGGATATCGACCGGCTTGCTCGCTTGTCAGATCTCTCCCAGCATAAGAGCTATGTCGTTCAGCATATTGGTGTCTATCAAGGGCTGGATAATCAGAAACTCTATTGGAATATTGTTGTTCAGCTTTATGACCATATTGTTGTTCAGCCTTATGACCATATCCATGGCTGGATAATGAAACGTAGTCACCTGCCGTAAACTTAGGTGAATCCACAGTAAAGCCGCTGCGACTTTCCAAAGCTGATGATCCAGAAACTTTTCCACCAACTGTGGACATCTGCACATGAAAGATTTGGAGATAGTTAAGTTTTTATATCCATGTCAGAAAATTATACAACTGACAATACAAAAGGCTAATTGAAACACTCAAAAAAGACACACACAAAACATAGAACGCAAAGCCGTAACAAATGACAAATCAGACAACGGTGGAAGCATTATAAACCTACAATCCTTAAAATTGGTGGAAAAGGAAGAAAGCTAACTCTACAAAATCTTGTCAATATTATCCCACTTGTGAAATAAGTCCATGAGACAGTCAAGTCTATGAACTTTGCAGCTAAGGCTATGCCAAAAGCAATATGTGCATGCACCAAAGGTGACAGTATTTGCAACAGGGCAATAATGTAGAGCGAAAAATCTCATTTTTTGGCATGATAACCAACTGATATATCTATACAACAAAATCCAATTTTGTGAAAAGGACAGAAAATTAAGCTACTTTACCACTACTGCATGCTGTGCCAATATACCATCTATGCAATTACATTATCGGAAGTTAAAACAGCAGCAACCGACATATTATGCCTGCTCAAACAATTTAACAAGAAACTAGATAAAATTAACAATTGAAGGCAGGTTAGAGTTGTATAAATACAATACACAAGAACACGTCTTTCTTCTCTCGTGATGATACAAGAATTAGTCTCACACCAAGTCCACATCACAGGAAACAAAATGTTGCCAGCACTTAAATATAACACCTGGAGCGTTATTTAGTATTTGCACCGCTTATGGAAATATTTCATTCTTCAGACGTCTTAGGCAAAAAATAACATACAACTGACATGCAAAGAGAATATATACAATGAGAGATCTGCTGACCTGCTGAGCAGTGGAACCATACACAGAGCTATATTGCCCACCATAATTAGGCACTGTTGATGAATGATGACTGTGATCTCTGTAAGCACTCATTTCTGCATCTTGAGGGGTTCCTAACATTGAAGAATGTCGTGAACCTGTGGGTAGTTGAGAGGACCTCTCAGGCCCTCCAGCAGAACTCCCGGAGTAACCATGTCCCAACTAGGTGAACAGAGAAAATGAACAATTATATAAGCATGAATGTAGTACAGAAAAGTATAGAATTGAATAGTTTTGACAATCATAAATGTATCGTCGGAGCTACTTTACAATAAATTTATGCACCATTGGTTTATGGAAAAAGTTGCCCGTGAATATAAGCTGGTTCATGGCACAATATGCTACAGCTGACAATCTTTATAATTGCCTGCAACCTGTGTTTGCAAGTCGTTACATTGCCTAACTACAATGTGACTCACATTCGGTATTTGCATGCTTAATACTACTTCGTCTAACTCATTTTATAAGACACAATTATTATTTCAAGAGTCAAAGAGTTTTTACTGTTAGAATCTCATCTAAAACACAATCACTGAGCAGCCCTTTTTACTTCTTTTGCATTGGTGCCTCAGAGTTTGTCCAATGCGATGAACAGCTGCTCCATTACAGAATAGTCAAGAGCGAAAAGCGCATAAAAAGTGCCAAAATCAGTTGTAGATTTTGTGCAATTACAAATTAGGCTTAGCAAAGATAAGTGCCAATAAAGGGAAACAAATAAAAATGTAATGCAAGAAAATGTAACTATAACACAAAAAATAATTTTTTGGACACAAGAGCAATAAAAGTATAATTAAGCTATATGTATATTGTTGCGCCCTTGACATAACCTATTGGTGAAGGCGCACACGCCTTAGCACCTTGACGCCTACACTAGAGGTGAAGCACATGACTTGGACTTCACCGAGCTTCCGGGCCTAAGCAGTTTAGGCGAGCTTTTAACAACACCGCTCCAGCATTCGTGTTTCACAAGTACAATCTCAATGTTGATATAGCTAAGACATAGCACAACAAAATGAAAGGATCCATATTGGCGACAACAACTAGCTGGGATTAAGGTATAATTATTGTTGTTACACTCACATTAAGATTATGCGGCAAGTCCTTTTTTAGTCCTTTAGGGACTTGTATGGTATGGGGACAAGTGTGACATTTAGACAACATATACTATCTTTATTTTTTTTATTTTTTTTTTGATTGGTAATATATCAAGAATGGTTAATTCAGATAGCATAGTATATACTAGGAGTTTAACAAATATGTCAGGTCATCTTTACCTTTTGTAACAGGTAACTTGCCTCATTTAAAAGATTACATATCTCACTTTTTATGGAGGGTTAGCTGTAGATATCTTTAATTCGGTTTGGTGTAAACACCGCGCGTACCTACAAACTTATATTTAATTTAGAAAAACTCCAATTGGCCTTTTAATTTAAAGTACAGTTGGAATAAGCTGCATAACGGATTGATTGAATAACTTTCAATTACATTTTTAAAAAAAAGTACCAAATAACAAAACAAAGAGAAAGGCAGATACTCACACTTTGGCCGTAGCTTGATTGCGAAGAGTACGTTTGTTGGCCATAGGCATTAGCTCCTCGAGAAGGATACATCTTTGGACTAATACACACACCAAAACCCTAACAACAAAATGAAACGAACTAAAACAACTACTGAACGACTCCAAACATTATATAACTGGGCTATTTTTTAAAAGAGAACGCCGCGGCGTTGCGGCGGAGATACGGCGGAGATTGGTGGAATTTGAAGGTTTCTTTACTGTGAAAAGCTTGGGGAAGAGAGAATTATAGGAGCCACGGCAAGCAAAGCCCTAATGCTATTTATTTTTGGGAAGAAAATTTAGAAGATAATATTTTGCAATTTGCTGCTCGGCTGTGTCGGGAAAAATTTGTATCGGCATGATTTTGACCGTAGATGATATTGACCTCACATGCCCTTACATGATCCAACGGTTTTTTTAATCTTAGAATCTATCTATAAAAATTATTTTATTAATCTATCCATATTTATATCTATATCTATCTATATACTATACTAATATTAGTTCTAACGCCTTTTTTACCCTTCAAAATATATTTCACGTTGAATAAAATTATAATTTAATAATTTTTTTAATATTTAGAACATAGAAATCAACTACAATTATGATTATTAAGTCATTCCTTATTTGAAACATGTAAAATATTCTACTAACATTTAAGACTTCCAAGGAAGCAAAATAGGTGTTGATGAGTTAGGAAAATAATGGTATTGCGAGTATTGCTAAAGCCCTTAATTTGCTCATGCGAAGCATTTCTTAAGACTAATAATAGTATTGATTTAAAATTGAAGTCCTTATAAAGATTTTAAAGTATGTCCAACTATTTCTATTCGAAAACTAAATTTATTTATTTTCTATATATCTTGAATATTATGAAAACACAAGATTTTTATTTAGTTGGGCGACGTGTTTATAGTTTGTAACTTGTGTTTTTTAGTGCCGTTTGTTATTCAATTTAGCTGATTTATTTTAGTAATTGAAATTAGGTTAATTGATATATTTATTCAGAATGGATTGTATATTTGCAAGATTTAGTGCGACATGTACCAAATTAATAGATTCGTCTAATGAGTGAATGTATTACTAAATTTAGTTTGATTGCATACAGCTATCATATTTCATATTATAATTGAATTGAAATTTGTCGGACCAAAGCGAGTTGCACATACCATATCGTTAAGGAGATATTTAACAAGTTAAAAATGAAGTCCAGAACAACAACATGAATGTATGTATGTAGCTCCACTATTATTTTATGTGTTAAGTTGTTTATAGTTAAGTATATCATCTTTCTCTCACGTTACATCTAGTATTTATTTTTTCAAGCATAAAATTATTTTGACTCTATTGCATGTTGCAGTTATATAACTACGAAGGATTAAACTTAAAAAAGTAGTCTTTGTAAATTAGAAGTTTAATATTCAAGAGCATTTCTATTGTTAAGCTTGAAAGAAGTTATCACTTTGAGTACAAAGAATTGAGAATTGAATTCCCTAACACAATTGGGATTTTATGAGTGAAGAGCTTAGTAATTATCTTCCTTTTAGCTATAAAATGATGCTTTGTGTTAGTTAGAAATTCATTATTGTAGTGTTCAACCTTGCTCGGAAAAGGAACCTTCACAATAGCAACAAGGGTTATGAGTACCTAATATAGCCTATGTGAATACTCGAGTTAATTATTTTATCCTCACTAAATGTTAAATATTTGAATAAATATTATGTATTTCAATTGTTAAAAGTCTAAGTGTTTACACTTTTAACCAACATAAAATTATCTCTTGAAATTTGTTTATAATTCTACATCGAAATCTCATTGAATTTGTCACTACCATTCCTAATTATAAAGAAATAAAAGACTCTAATTTCATTAAAAAAATATGTCAATTCGTTCAAAATTAATATGTTTGTGATATGCAATGATGTAATCACAGTGTCTAATCTCAAAGTTGAACAATATTTTTTGCAATATGATTTTTTTACATGAACAATTATGTATTGCACTTTTAAGAAGAATATTAATATCGACAACAAAATATTTAATCATGACAAGCAGTCAAAGCGATAGAAGAAAACATACACCAATATATTTTTATTATTTATAAAAAGGTGTTAGGTGAGATACAACACAATATACTTGTATCTTATTTAATAAATATTAACTGACATATTGACGCAGTACACACGTGCAACACATGCACACTAAAGCTAATATCTATAATAGTATCTAAAATAAGACGGGACATTAATCAAAAGTCTAGGATAATGGAGAAATATCCTATAGGTAACACTTACTCATAGAATGCGAATTTAATTTAGTCGGAGTAGTGAGTTTCGAATATCAGTTGATTATTTCGAGAAAAATACTTAATAAATATATTATATGGAAAAAGGCCAAATATAACCCTATGCTCTCATAAAAGGTTTAAATGTACCTCTCGGTATGCTTTGAGTCCAAATATGCCCCTATCATTATACTCGTGGTTCAAATATGTCCAAAGTGGAAATCCAATCCTACGTAGCACTAACATTTGATGAGGTTGATGCCACATGGCTTGCCACTTTAGCGCCCCTAACCCATTTTACCCATCCCTTCTATTTTTTTTCAGCACTAAAATTTTCTTCCCCTCCACGACTATTGCCATCATTTCCATACCATGAAAAATATTATATTCCAAATTTTAATCTTTCATATATGGATTAAGGGCGCTGAGGTTGTATGCCATGTGACATCCACCTCATCAAATGTCAGTGCCAATAGTATTGCGGCATGGGTATATTTGGATAAAAAATATACTGAAAGGTGTATTTAAACCTTTTCTCTTAATACAGAGATATATTTGGCCCCTTGCCGTAGATTGTATCCCAATCAAGTAATCAAATACATATTATTTCTTTTCGAAAAGCCTTTTATGCGTCAAATGCTTATCCAAGCGTATCTAATAGTACACTACTTTCGTACTTGATCACTTCTTTCGAATATGGTATAAATGCACCAATGAAAGTATGACACATATTATCAACATTTTAAATTAACAGTTAAATGAATGGATAAAAAAGCTAATAGGCAAGAAAGTGCACTACCTTGACATTTCACCGAGATCCCAATTCAATTTTCCCTGCCATTGAAATCACGGGAGCGAACCTGCTCCGGTAAGGGAAGCTCCAGTATTTCTCAATAGTTTATTGGATTAAAATCATGTGGCATATAACAAGTTTTAGTGGTCAGATTTAGCACAAGCCTAAGAATGTCTTCACCTCTTTCTCCCCCAAGTCCCCCTCTCTACCAACAAAGCGCTCATTCTTTTTATTCTTCAAGACATCAACAAATTCACTAACATATACGTGTATGTGTATAACCATGTTTTTGTCAAGAATCTAATATACATAATATATTTGATTAATAGAAAGAAGATGTGTGAAACTAGTGTCTATTGTTGGGAGTGTATGAACAGAGTCCCATATGGAAAGCAGAAAAGAAAAATAAGCTACTTATAAGGAGTTGAATACTCTTAATGGTGTGAGGCATTTTGAAAAAATCGTGCGGGCTTGGCTCAAAGAGGACAATATCATACCATATTAAAGTATTTTTGGACAATTTTAGTCTAATAACTGGTATCAAAGCCAATAGTTTGGCAGGACGATGGATACGGCGGAATGTGGAGTAGGGGCTCGGCTTAGTGCGTTTGCCCGCCTACAAGGTTTACTACCTTTACCCATAGTTCAAAGACGCATACACAACCTCTCCTTGGGCTTCGGTGATTGTAAATACTTTGATCGTGTTGGTGACACACAATTAATCTCTAAATGAGCCCATAAACGATGATAGGGCATGTGGATCTTTGTTTGGGAGAGGGGGATTATTGGGACCGTGTGAACAAAGTCCCGAATGGAAAGTAGAAAAGAAAAAAAAAACTACTTATAAGAAGTTGGATACTCTTAATGATGTGGGGCCTTTTGGAAAAACCTTGCGGACTTGGACCAAAGCGGACAATATCATACCATGTTAAGAGTATCTTTGGGCCGTTTTAGTCCAACTGGTATCATAGCCAATGATTTTGCGGGACAATTATGAAGATGGAAAAGTGATTGTACGGAGTGGTGCACACACAAGGATAAGCTAGTTGCGGGCTTTGGTTGCTATAATACTCTAACAATGTGCGTGGCACACAGTAAATCTCGAAAATTGATCCGTGGATCGTGGCAGTGGGCCGCATAGAACTTAGTTCAAGGGGTAGACCCGCGAGTCGTGATAGTAAGTCACATGAAACTTAGCTCGAGGAGGAGATTATTGTGTGTGTGAACAAAGTCCCACATTGATAGCTGAAAAGTTTGGGAGCTAACTTATAAGGAGTTAGATACTCTTAATAGTGTAAAACCTTTTGGGAAAAATCGTACGGGCTTGACCCAAAGCGAACAATATCACATTATGTTAAGAGTATCTTTTGGTCGTTTTAGCCCAACAACTGGTATCAGAGCCAATAGTTTGGCAAGACGAGTATGAGGATGGTGAAGTGATGGCGTAAGACCCATCTTAGTGCCTTTTCCAATCTCTGGGCAGGTTCAATACCTTTACACACAGCTTCAAAGACGCATACATAGCCTCTCATTGGGCATCGGTGATCGAAAATACTCGAATCATGTGGGAGACACGCAGTTATTCTCCAAATTAACCCATAAATAGTAATGTGTCATGTGGAACATAGTTCAAGGGGGAGATTGTTGGGAGTGTGTGCACAAAGTCCCACATGGAAAGTAGAAAAGAAAAATAAGCTACTTATAACGAGTTGAATACTCTTAATAGTGCGAGGCCTTTTGGAAAAAATTGTACGGGCTTGGCCCAAAGCGGACAATATCACACTATGTTACGAGTCTATATGGAGAACTTCTGCTCGAAGTAATTAATTTTAAATTTCTAGCGAATGTAGAATATTTGAGGCAACGACATCCCTATTATTTAGTTTTAAATCTTATAGAATTCCTCAGCCCGTTGAGAAAACCACAATTTTAGAGTTTGTGTTTATTATTTAGAAAGGTTTCAACAGAAAAAAATACATATATGACTCATATATACCAATCTCTAAGATGAAGTCGAACGAAAAGTAATCAAACATTTACACAAACCGTAAATTAATAGACTTTCTTAAAACCCACTCCAACAAAAGAAAGGAGAACTGAGAGTTTCAATTCACAAAATGGCATCAAAGACAAATGGATCATGACCATTAAACTTGTTATATGCCACGTGGCTTTAATCCAATAAACTGTTGAAAAATACTGGAGCTTCCCTTAC